ACTCACAAATGCCTCACAATATATCTATTACATTGATTCGCTAATCCATTATCAATCCTTTGCACAATACAACTAAACAATTACTAATCTTGTCTAATTTGTCAAATTTCCCATGCAATTTTAATTCATTTTTTTTAATTCAAAGAAACTTATCAAATAAATTAAATATTGAATTAAGTTGATTTAAATCAAGTATAGAAATTTATAAATAAAAAAAACTTGAGTTAAAATAAATTTTTTGAAGTGACATGTATTTCAAAACCAAACTACTCAATGTTTTAACAAAACCCAACTTGTCAATAATGTCTTAAAAACCCAAAATGGTCAATGTCTTACAAAAAATAAAGAAGTTAAATGCTATATAATAAACTTAAGCATATAAAATTAACCTAAGCTAGTAAAATCTTCATAATGTCCTTGAATCTCCCTATTTTTGTTAGTTGATGGTGTTGTTGATGGTTGGACTGTTTGAATTATCTATCTCATCATCTAACCAAAAAAGAGCTAATGTTGTATTTACAATTGCAGTGACCCATTCTTTTGTCATATTTGTAGAATTTGTGGAGGAACCTACAACCCTTCAAGATGAAGCTTGTGAAGAGCTACTAGTGACAATATCCAAGCTATGACAGATGACATGGACTTTTTTTCCCTTGTTTTCCACTTATAGCTTTTAACCAAAGATCAAAATCTATTGAGGTATGAGATGAAGTGTTCGCTCCATATATATTTTTGTGTCATTAATTCATCATATGTTTCCTACGACAAATATAATTTTTTTTAGTAAAATGGAAGTAGTTTAACAAAAGTAATCAATCTTAACACATAAAACACACATACAATAAAGTTTTTTTTGCCCTTGTTGAGATAAATCAACCATTATTCCTTTTATAAACATTGGTATACACTTCACGATAAAAAATGAGATGTCTTTTGCCTCCTGTAAAAAAGGTTATAGTGTAAACTACAACTCGTGGAATTAATCAAAGAAACTCACCACTTTTTAATTTTCGTAATTTTACTATCATTAAAAGACTAAATTAAATATTTTTACAATACTTGGAGGACTACATAATAATCTTAGCAAACAAACATTGATCCACACAAAAAGAAAGAAGTAATTAACTTGAAAATATCTTGCATGATATTTTATACCTTTCTAAGTCACATATCTACTATAATACTAATATTATAATATCCTACATTTTCATATTTAGATTAATAATATATAATTTTTTTTATAAAATTTAAAGGGTTAATATTAGAGAGCATTTTTAATGTTGAAATTATATTTTTATATATTTATTTTGATTAAATTATGTGAGGATTATATTTTAGTATAATGTTTATTATTATTATTATTTTGTTGTTGTTGTTTGTTGTTATTATTATTATTATTATTATTATTATTATTATTATTATTATTATTATTATTATTATTATTATTATTATTATTATTATAAAGTGAGGGAAGGAATAGGTAAACATGGTTATGGATAAGTAATTGAGGATGAATTAATTAGAGGGAGGATGAATTAGGTTTAAATTTAAAAAGAAACATGTATCAATTTTTTGCTCACTCTCTCTCACTTTTCTTTTACACTCTGAAAAATCAGGAGGAGAGGAGACGGGAGGAGATCACCCCAAAGACTCACGTTCTTCACTGTTTGCTGATAGAGGTAAGGAGGGAGTGAGAATTATCGCTCTAAGGTGTGGGATAACAGATGGATAGTGAGGTTAACCCCCAACCTCTATATGTTGTAAGTGTTGCATGAAGGGAGAAATCCCAATTGTTTTTTGTTCTTGCTTGTTGTCTTCCCATGCAATTCTATTGCTCCTAAATTTCTATAAATTGTGAGTATATATGATTAATTTTGTATATTGAGCCTTATGGTATGAATTTAGTGCTTGTGGGTTTGTGTGGGAACCCTAAGGGTATGTGTAAGAATTGTTATTGCGTGAGTGATTGATAGGGACGTGTAATGGTATGAAATTCATGTCTTATAGATGCATAATATGAATGAATTAGAGTTTTTAATTTCTATCGATTGGATGATGATTGCATGTTTTGGATTTGTTGTTCACATATCGCAATTATGCATGTTTGTGTTTCTGATATGGTGTCAGACACCACTTGTGTCTCATCGGCATTGGGGTGTCTGAGAGTAGGGTTTACTCCCTATTCTGTCTGTGCTGGGTGAAGGACAGGCCTTACCAAGCATGATCGAGGCAATGAGTCTCTTTGATACTCATGTCTGACATGGGTTGAGGCTCGTCAAGCATGAGACTTCACGGGAGTCCATGCTAATACTGGGCGTGGTGCGGATTATGCTGGGCGTAAATTATCCTGAGAGTTATGAGTAATATAATTATTTTTTTTATATCTAAGAGATATAATAATTTAGTAAAAAAAATGAAAACAAAAAACGATTACATATTCTATGATCCTTTTATAATTGGTATTCTTTAATTTTATTGAGTAATATAACAAACATGTTCCAAAATTTTAAGGAGTAATTAGTTGGCCTTTAATATATTATTAACCCTTAATCAAAGGGGTTTGAAATGACAATACTACAAGATGGTGCTTGGCTGTTATCCGCAACCGCAAGACTCGTCCTCAATTTTGAATTGGATGGAGCGTTTCAGTTCTAAAGAAAATGACAAATCTGTCCTTCATTTATAAGGTGCATAGAAGCATAGCACTTAGGACAAATATGGAACTTCAATCCATTTGTGGACAACTAGAAGAAACATCCCACATTGAGACATCGTAGATTGCTTTCCGTACTCATGCAAAACCATTTTTTCCACGTACAGACAAACAAGTGGTTTAGAAATTTGCATTATCAACCCATGAGGGAAAGGACCTTATTGTATTTTATTCACTCTTTATCTTTCTCCTTCTTCTCTGCATGTGTATTTAAATTTCAAAAACATATGTAAAGAGAAGGGTTGTGGCCTTCTGGGGACTGTTCTCATAAATGGCTCAAACAAATGCAATTTTCGTTTTGCTATCAGCCAAAACTGAAAGTCGGACATATTTAATTAATTGAATTACTGCATGAATTGAAAGAGAAAATAAACTTGTATGGCCGAGGGAGAGAAATTAAAATTTTGAATGCAAATAGTTTTTAAAAGAGTAGTGATTTAACGTACATAAAAAATAATGGTAAACGAAGATTCAAATAATATATATAAAGTCTTATGTTTTAGCTTTGTTGTTCATGATATATATATTATCTCAAAATGAGGTGAATTGGGGTAAATAAAAGAAAAAAGTAAAGAGAAAAAACAGAGAAAAAAAAAGAGACAAATATGATAAATGAAGTGATTCAAAAGAAAAAGATGGGATTGATGCAAATTAGTCTCTTTTTTTATATAATGTCATTTTTTATCATTAATGTGATTAAAATTTTGATATAGGAGAACATCAAATATAACAACTAAGTTATATATAAATAAAAAAAATGTAAAAACAAAAGAAAATTAAAAGATATTCAGTTTTGACCCAATCCAAATGCAAAAAAGTCAACATGTAGGTACATTTTCTAATATCTATTGCCTGAAAATAGTACAATGTACAATAAAATCAATGAATAGAAGGTTTGGACAATTGTCCCAAAAAAGGTTTTGGACAAGCTTCATCCACCTACATAAATATAGTAACATTGCGATAAATTAATATTATCAAACAAATGGACATAAACAAGTAAACAACAACAATTAATCCTCCAAAATATATGGGGAAATGTTATTTAGATTTTTGAACAAAATATTTTGATTATTTTCTCAAATTCACGTAATCAATCTGCATTATTGTTCCTTTCTTCACGCATTCCTTTATCTCTCCCATTCTTTAAAATCCAAACCGATCAAAATTTTCTTTTTTCACTTCCTTTTCACCCCGATATTTTTCACTTACCAAACTTTATTTTTGTTATTTGCATTGCTCATTTCTTGCCCCTAGTCTATCAAATTTCCTAACAGAAAAGACCTCCTAAAGCAAGGTCCCATTTGTTCGTGTTTTCCAAAAAAGTTTTTTTTTTAACGATTCCAAAAATATTCTATTAAAAAGTATGTTTAAAAAATTATTGAATTATATTTTATCATTTATTTTATAATACGAAAAACATGATCTAAAGAATGTTATATTCACAATTATTTTCTTAACCTTAAACAAATGGCCATAATTTCCTGTTAAAATCCTTCAAAGTGTAAAACGAGTGCATAATTGCATATGAATACATTAATTTTCAATAAATAATATTTTGAGTAATTGATACTATACAATTATTTGCATTGATATGGTGGTACATATAAAAATTAAGTTCTTTAATTAAGGATAAACGGCGTATGCACGGACATAATAAAAGACTTTTTTATATTGTTATATTGTTATTCAATCATAAAATGCTATATTAATTATCTTACAATTATACCTATGATAATTTTGGTTTTATTTATCCAAAAAAATCATCTTATGTTAGTTAATTACCTTAAAAACCATGAGTAAATGCAAATTAGTATATACATTAATAATATAAAATATTTTAATACTAGTTTCTCTATATTAGTTACCTTAAAAACCATATAGATCTTATTATAATTTTTATTAGTTGTGATAACCAAATTCTGTAAATATATATATATATATATATATATTTATTTATTTATTTATTGCATGGACATTAACTATTTTCCTTCAAATTTCAATTCCACATGTTAAGGAAAAAAGAATATCGAGAAGAATGACATAATGGAAAGATGAAAGTCCATAATTTATAGTGTGTTTGGTTGCACGTTTTTTATGCGATTTTTCACGTTTATTCAAAAGTAAATAATTATTACTTCTACATTTTAGAATGAATTGACGTAATTTTTTACTTTCTAACCCGTTTTCAAACATGCTATTAAACGTATTGTAAAAAAATTCAAAATTGGTAACCTTGCATCTAACTTTAGGCGCCATATATACAAAACCCAAACTAACCCAACATCCATTTCTTCAACTCATTTTTTTTTTCTTCTTTTCTTCTCTGTCAAAACGAAATCTTCGCCATTAACACCTTCTTCTCTTCCTCCACATTCCTCCTACCCTTCAATTATTGCGCTTTCTAAACTGTCACAACACTAACAATAAACACGATTTTTAAATACTACTAATTATCTGACTTCCATTCCCAACTTTCTCTCTCGTTTTCCGGGAAAATCAGCCTCCCATAATTTCCCCGGAACGAGAGAGGAGGTCACGGGATTCGACAAATATCAAATCCCTAATTTCATTCTGCCCCTTGCATGGTTTCGTTTCTTCTGCGGTTCCAAGTGAAAGGAGGAAGACCCGTGTTGGGGAATCATCCAAAAATCAATACTTGCTTCTGAATCCGAATTGGGCAGGAACATGGTGCCCCTGCATTGATCATTGGTCATTAGGCTCTGGAGAGAGAGAAAACAGAGAAAGAGAATATGGAAGAAGAGTTCGAGGAGATCGAGGTTGAATACGCGCCTCTTTGCGAGGGTCACGAGATTGACGTTGAATATGAATTCGACGCGCCCCATTTCTTCGATTTCACGCGCCAACTGTCGCTTTGGGACGCTGATGAAGCAGAGCAATGGTTTGAATCCGCCACAAGCTACCCACCTTCACGTAAGAATTTAAGCAAAATCAAACAACGTTGTAATGTTTTCTTGTGTTTGAAAAATCAAACAACGTTACAGTTGAATGATTCTTAATTTTGATTGGGTTTGTTTGTTTTGGATGTGTTGTGCGCAGCGTTTCTCTTGAAGATGAGACGAGGAAACTACAGTGGTGTGAGTCCAGAACAAGTTTCAGAGAATGAGGAGGATAATAGCACAGGTACTGTTATAATAGCCTCCACGTTGCTGTTGAATTGATGGCACAACATGTTTAGCTGTTAATTATCGTGACATGTTATCTGTTTGCTAAGTATCTATCAATTTTGCTTGTTTTATATTGTTTAACATCTTTCACTTTCAGATATAGAACTTCCTTTTCATTTTGTTAAAATTATCCTTTTTCATGGTAGCTTGGGAATTGTGATTGCTCAATCTGCCAGATTTAGTTGCATGTATGAAATTTGGGAAGAAATTGGCAGATGTTATTCTATATTGTGAATCTGGAATTCTGTTTGTTGGTCATTGAATGTAGCTTTATGTGAATTCTCTTGAACTTTTGTTGTACTATTGTTTAGTTTTGTGACTGAATACATATTTGTTTTCAGGAAGTGAATATGGTAAGACAAAGCATCTCGGGAAGTCAAGTTCATCAAAATCTAAAGATTTCTCTTTTATGAAACCAACAGCAAGTCATTTGGCCAAGCAGAAGAGCTCTTCAGAATTTCAGACCCCTGCACCCTCAAGGTATCTATTTTTATTCTTTATAGTTTAATTTTGATACCCTGTGATCACAAAAAAATTCTACATTGTTAACAAAAAATTGGGACTAAGGGCAATAACTTATTGTACACATGACATAACAAGAAAAAAACACTTATAACCACGTGTAAAAAAAAATTGACGTTGCTAGTTTCAATTGGATACAAACAATCATATTGTGTCATTTTTAAAAATTAAGAGGCGAAATTGAACCTTTAATGATAGAGACTTAATTGAATTAATTAGATAAAATTGTTTTATCCATTTCACTCCTTTTGGGTTTGATTCTGAATATTACCTTCCTTTATTGTGCTCTCCTCTGTCATCTAAACATTGCAGGATTCAGAGACAGAATTCTTCTTCAACAGATGGCCAATTAACCAAAAGGCAGAAGGTTGAAGCTGGTTACTTGAGGAAGGTGTGCTAAAGTTATATAAGCTTTCATTCTAAAATTTTGAATTCTTAACTTTAATTAGCTTAATATAATTTTGCTATATTCATCACAGGTTGCTCGTTTGAAGCATCGCATTCATTTTTCACATAAAAAGTCTAAGGAGGTAGCCATCCTAATCTTTTTGTGGAATATTATTTGTTTGAGAATATAATTTCATACATGAGGAAATCATATCTAATATGACCCTTTGTACTTTGTTTGTGCATATAATATTTATTTTAAAAATTATTACATAAATAATATAACTTATTTTGAATTGTGATGCAGGCTGGTGGTACCGATGTCAATTTAGCATCTAAACAAAACGTTACCATTGCTAAAGAACCTAATTTGGTGACAGCACTCAGGGCACAAAGGCCAAAGTATATGAACTACTTAAGTTATAGTAGTTGCCATGGTTTTAATCCTTTTTCAATAACCATATCCAACATCATAAATTGTGTTTTGTGCATTTTTTTAATAGGTCTAGAACCAATGCTGAATCAGGTGGACCTACACAATCAAGTCCTCAGGTGCCTAAAGCACGATCCTTAAATAAAAAAGTAAGTACTTTTTTTCAGTTTGTACAATTGGAAGAAATTAATCAGTACTTAATCATACACCATGTAAATGCATAATTTTTATAATGTATAATTGATAAAGTTTTTGACGTGGCAGATTTTGGAGGGTCCGGCAAAAATCTTCTCTAAGATGAAAACACCACCACGACCAACAGAATGTCAAGTAATAATATTTAACTGTCACAACTAACAGAGTAACAAATTTTAATGTAATGGTGAATTACTTATTATGTTTTTTGACTCTTATTTTTCAGGTATTCCACTTGAGAACATCAGAGAGGGCAATGCAAAACACGTCTAATAACAATGTTAGTTACCTAAAATTTGATTTAGTTGTTGTATCTCAACCATTATTTGCTTCTCTACTAATTATAACTTAATAAAATTTTTGTTTTACTCTTAAAAATAATAATTTTTTAAATTTGTATTCAGACAAATTCATATTCATTTTTCACAATACTTCCTTTAGCGGCTGATATGTTTTCCATTGCAGGCTGGAAGTAGTTCGAATCGCAATTCTAATTCAAATAGAGAAACGCGGGATATCAAAATGTATGAAAATCTATATTCCTTTCGCTTATTTTCATTTTAATTCCTACAATTTTAAATTTTGGTCTTTTAAATTTTTTATTATAAATTTAATTTTTAATTTTTAAAATTAAACAATATTGATTCATTAGTAACATTTTTTTTTCTTTTCATGAATAATACTACTTATTAGTTAGTCATAAAAAAATAGTAATATTAAAACTTAAAAGTAAAATTGTTTTAATAAATTATAAATTTTAATTAAAATTAAAAAAAACAAAATATCTTTAATAAAAAAACAATATTCCTTGTATGAAAGTGAGTTTGACCAAGTAACCGTTAATTATTGTCACTCATAAACACATCAAAATATCTTATTTAATTTTTATGATATGTTAATAATGGACCAATGTTTAATTTTAAAATTTAAAAGAACTAAATTTACAATAAAAATTTGGAGACCAAAATTAAGTATTTACCAAATTATAAGTAGATTTAAGCTTATTTCTTTTAATAGAGATTTGATTTTCTTTATTTTTTTTACTTTTTTAAAAGTGGTTCTGGAATATGATTTTTAATTTTTTTTTTCCTACTGAGATACTTTTCTGCGGGTTTTTTTTTCTCAGAAAGTTTACATATTATAATTTTTTAAACATATCTTTTTAATTAAGAAATATTTTTTGTAATGAAAAACTCAAATTACATTCCTTATATAATTATATGATTTTATTAATCATCATCTTAAAATTAATCACAGGAAAATTAATAAATAGTTTTTATTAAATACCACATAAATGTACTTACAATACTAATAATGTCTTAATAAATATTTTTATTTTTTAATTGTTATCCCAAAGAAAATGGTTAACAAAAATGGTACAACGTGTACTATATCCTTTTCTTTTTAATGATTGCACAAATGATAAGTGTGATCATTACTAGTTTTTTTTGAGAAAAAATATATATATACATGTTGTCAAGGTTTGATTTTATATCATGTAAAAAAATTATTGGGACAATATATTATGGTAATCTCTTTTGGTCAAGAAAAATTAGTTTTTGATTACAAATAGGAGGATATTTTTAGTGGAAAAAAAATTAATTAATAGTGTTTGAGTGCTAAATAAGATTTTTTTTTTCTCTCTAATTTGGTTCGAGTGTTCTATTCCCCCACAGGAGAAATTCAAGTGTTGGCTCAAGGCAGGAGAAATGTAAAACGAATAACAAACTTCGAGGTAGCTCTAATGATAAGGTAAGCAATATTGATAAATGTTTTTTCTCTCTATTTTTATTAATAAAAAGGCATTGATTATATTATATTTGTCGTGCTTGCATAAGCAGCTCTCAAGTAAAAGAGAAAGAGTGGTCTTCCGAAATATCAAAGTATATCCATTGGTAAATATCAAAGTTAATCTACCATGTTCATGATTTGAACTTCCTTGTAATTGCATTTTAATTTTTTTATTTTCATTTATTCATAGGATCCAAACAACAAGGGAACTCTAAATGAACCACCCTCAGAGTTATTTAGCAAGGTACTAAGTGCATGCTTGATTTCTATTTGTATTGATGCAAATGGGTTCATTATCTTATGATCTTTCCTAATTTTTCAAGTAATTATTTCCAAGGTTGACATTTAATATATGTTTGCATGAATACACAATTAGTTCTTATTTATTTTTAAATTCTATTCTGCATTATTTAATCTTTGTCCTGATCAATTTGCAGCTCTCCCTGGCTTCTGATGTCAAACAAAGTAGAAAATCACCATCAAAGGAGCAGCAGCCAATTTCTAAGGTTTATTTCTCTTAGCATTCTCATGGCAAACTAAGATTCTTTTGTGTGCACAGCATCCCCACTAAAGCATGGATATTCCTATTATTCTATTGAAGGAATTGAAGGAGAATAGACCTAGATCCTTGCCTAAGGAGAATGAGGTATGTTAAAAGCATTATTTTATTTGGAATACACCAATTGTTAATAGTTTTTTACAATGTAAATCATTCTTAAATTGTCATATTATTTAAAATAGATGACTTTTATAATAATTATGTTGATTGATATATGAATTTCTATTTAAAATTAAGATTTATAATATTTAGATAATTAAGATCAAAATCAAATTATTCAAATCCAATTTGATTTTATTCTTCTTTATTCTAGAATATTTAGCTAAGATCAATATCAAGTTATTTAAATCTAACATGATTCGCTTTCATTTTTTACTTTTATTTCCTAATAAATATTATTAGGATTTCTTATAGCCATTTGTGGCTATATATCATGTAATTTTGATCATTCTCTTATTATTTTACTTCAATTTATTCTATAAATCTTAACTATAATATTATTTAATTAGTTGACACTTGACACTAAAAAAGTCTTATTTTTGACTCAACATTGAACTTGTAGAAAATGAAATTGATCAAAGAAAGGCTTCAAGGAGCATGTGGGAAGCAGTATCATTGTGTGAATGAAATGGGGTCCCTCGTATCAAAGCAGATCTGCATGCTGGCAAGTAGAACCAATTCCAAATACAATTTACTTCTGAGTTTCTTTATGATGTCATCATTCTGGGAACTTAACAACTACCTAAATTACACCAAACTCTTGTTTTTGACACAGGAAATTGGACATTAGCTGAAAATAGAGTGGTGGTTCATATTGGTGCTTGCTAGTCTAGATACATTTGCTTAAAATTCCACAAAAAAGTTCATCTCAATAAATGAAAGTTCAACCGTAAGATTCATTGGAAAAACCATCGCAAAGGGGCTTATGTGCTAATCTGTGGAAACAAAGGATCATACTAAAAATATTGTTTAGGGAGGAAGTTCTGAGTAAAGCCTAATGCATGTACTCTAGAACAAAGCATTAGACATTTTGGAATTTCTTGACTCTTTCCACTTACCAGTTAACTCTGTATAAAGAAACAACGTAATGTGGTACAATGAGGCTTAAAAATACTATACTTGTAAAATTGTTGCTTGTTTCCATTTAAGTTAGCTGGTATTTGTAACTACATAGCAACTTGAGAATTTTATTTTTTTTCTTAATCATTTTGTTTGACATGCTTCTACCATTAGGCATTCTAGTCTACCCTCTATCAGTACAAGCACTCTATTGATGACATACTAACTATATTTAATCATTAAATCAAAGTAAAATTGTTAGGCCACAATATTCTGTGAAATTTGGCATGTCCACAATCAATGGAAGAGTATCAGAGGATTTAACTAGTAGCTATTTTGGTTACACATCGGTTCAAGTCAAACGGGAATTGACTTTCCACGTCTAGGCAAAAAAAGCATTCTAGTTATAATCATTCGTGCTTTTTAATTCTTGTGTCAACATGCATTTTCTTTCTCAAGTAAATTTCAACAACTAGATATCACATTGATAACTAGACACATTTTAGTTGAGTTTTATTGAGAATTTGGCCAAGTTTTTTTAATGAAAAAAAACTAGATATTAGTTATTTCAAATAATTTATCTTGTCATATTTTAATTCTCAACATAGACATGTTTTATTCGTAAGATAACAGCGTCACGCTATTCGTAAGATAAACATTTAAAACATTACATTAAATCATATAACATCTATGCAATTTATTATGGACTCAAGTTGCAAAAGAGAGAGACTATTTAACCCTCACATTTATCTATCTCACTTGGACTCATTTTCCTGCAATTGAGATTTATCATCTATATGCTAGCATTTGTTACTGCCATACATTCCTCCATGCAATTTACTTAGGACCTTACCTTTCAACAGATACAAGATAATTAGGTCACAATGATAGGCCAACGAGGTAGCTATTTCTGTTGGTCCTTTTTGCTTTTAGAAATGAGCCCACTGACTCTCAGACTTTCTATTCTAGAAGATGACAAGATGTTATGGGTACCTTCATTATACTTCAATTCTTTTCCTCTATATTGTTTTCTTTAGGTTTCATACTAATAATAATAAAATAAATAAATAAATAACTTTTAATAGTTGTTATCCTGCACATAAAGTTCAGAATAAACTTAATATGATAAGAATTTTAGTAATCTAATTTAAGGTGGGAGAGCTCTACTTGACATGCTTCTCTTGATGTAGTAAAATTTAGGTGTATGCAATGTGCAGAAACCATTCCACTGACTATTACTACATACTACCTGCTTCTAAAGAGCAATGCCAGTACAGAATACAGTGGAAACTTTCTATGAACTCTATTCTCTTTACTTTTTACTATCAGTCTAGAAGACTTGGTCTCAAAAAGTGTAACAATCCAATGGTTCCAATGGAAAACTACCAATACTTTTGAATAAAATTGGAGTTCTTTCTCCACCCTCTTCACTCCAACCTTTGGCTTTGGTATGAATCATGGATACATGGAAAATGAAGCGCCTAGAGGCTGTTATTTGATACAACATCCTCAAAGCGAACAAACCATTGATCATTTGAGTACTTCTGCTGAGGTTGTGGCGTGTTCATTTGAGGGTGGTTTCCCTTTTGTATCATAAATTGTGCATAATCAATGGTCTTTGAAGGAGGGGCAAAGATGTTGGTGGGAGATGCTGGGAGTAGTGATGCCAAAACCCTGGCAACCTCATGCATGGTAGGCCTCTCAGAAGGATTTGTTTTTGTGCAAAGAAGAGCAAGCTGAAAGGTCTTCTTAACATGAGCCAGATCCATGCAGGTAATGGACACCTCAGGATCCACTGTCTCCATTATAGTGTTGTTATCTGCCTTGGACAATATCTGCAAGCCATGTTGCACACATAATCAGGAAAGGACTTCGTATCAGTCATGTGGAGGTTTATGCATTTGCATTAAGGCATAATAAATGTGTTTGTTTTAACTCATTTTGCTGAAATAATCATCTATTTTTACCAGCTTCATGAGTGAGATTCTGAAAAATAAGTGATTATTCCCTATATTTAAGTGTTAACAAACATGTACTAAGCCACTGAAACAAGAGTTACAACTGATCTGGCTCAATTATAGATCAAGTATATTACCAAGAAATAAAAAATCCAAAAAGTACTTACCAAGTAATGCAAGTTACAATCATTATCCACTGCTTTCTTCCCAGTTAGTAGCTCAAGTAGAACAATGCCAAAGCTATACACATCGGATTTTTCATTCAGCCTAGATGTCCGGGCGTACTCAGGGTCAATGTAGCCTATTGTTCCAAGAACAAAGGTTGATGCATGTGTTCTTGTAGTTGACAGACATTTGGCAATGCCAAAATCAGAGAGACGAGCCTCAAAGTTCTCATCTAGCAGAATATTTGATGACTTGATATCCCTATGAATGATTCGAGGATCGCAATCATGATGGAGGTAAGCAAGTCCTTCAGCAGCTCCCACAGCAATCCTCAAGCGTGTCTCCCAATCAAGTTTTACCTTTTTCAAGGGACCTGAGACAAGACAGTTATGTCATAAGAACAATCTTAAGCTACGTTTACTGATTTGCCTTGAAAAAAAGAAACGAGTATATTATCAAGTTTAAGATCAAGGGTTTGGTTGGATAAACTTCTTTAAAAATACTTCTAAAAGAGAAAAAAAAAATGAAATAAGCTTCATTATAAACTAAAACTAGTTTCTGCATAAGTTGAAAATTAAATTTTAAAAAAACTAATAGAAGAGCTTTAACCAATTAGCTTATGCATAAGCTAATTTTAGTTTATGGAGAAGCTCATTACATTTTTCCTTCTTATTTTTCTCTCCTAAAACTTTATCCAAACAAGCCCTAAGACATCATTAGTCTTAGGAAGATTCCAATAATGTCTATGCACCTCATACAAGATTTTATTAAAGATGATTTCAGATCAAGGTGAAAAATTCTAAGGAGTTGTTTCAAGGTTAAGTAAATATACCATGAAGAAGATCCCACAAAGAGCCATTCTCCATATAGTCATAGAAAAGAAGATTTCCATTAGGAGTTAGAGCATAACCATGCAAAGTGACAAGATTCCTGTGTCTGATACTGCCAATAGTTTCAAGTTCTGTCTCAAACTCCCTTGAGTTGTGAGCATGCTGGTTGTATAGTCGTTTAATAGCAATTGGCCGGGAATTCTTCAAAACACACTTGTATACAGTGCTTGAGGCACCATACCCTATGATATACTTCTCATTGAGATTTTCAGTCACTCTCATAATATCATCAAGGGTGTGAATGGCCAAACCCATATGAAGAACTACAAGCTTGGGCGGCCCTGAAGAGAATGAAGCAAAAAGACGAAACAGGTGAGAATTCAGGCTCGCATAATAACAATACTAGGCATAAACAGTGCATATGCAACATACCGCTGCCATTTCCACTAGATCCTTTAATCAATTGCATTGATTGGCTTGATCTGTAGATAGCAATAATTACCATGGCCAATAATGTGATGCTACCAACAACGAGACAAACAACTGCAGCCTTTGAAAAAACCACTGAACATAAAAGTAAAAAATAAGGCTCATTAATACATTACATTTAAATAAACATTTCCTCCAAAACAAATGCTATATCATTATCATAATTGTAGCTATTAAGTCATAAGTCATTTCAGATGGATGTCACACACCTCTGGATTTTGGCAGGTAAGGATCACATATTGATCCTAACCAATTCCCACATAATAATGGATTTCCAATGAAGCTGCAATATATCACATTAAAAAGTCATTGATAAATGAAAGTAAAAACCAAGAAATTCCTACGTTTTCTCACAATACCTGTCAGAAGAAAACCGTGAGAAGTTCTTCATAGGAGGAATGACACCAGATAAGTTATTGTACGAGACATTCCTAACACATGAAACAAAGCATTCAGACATGAGACACATTTCAGGCACAAGTCACAACACTGAATAAAATGATCAGAATGAAGGGTGGCTAGCTGTTAGGAAAACACACAGGGAGTTAAGACTTAAGCAGTTGGCAAGCTGATCTGGAATCTTCCCATGCAAATCATTGTTGTTCAAGATCCTATCATACGGTTCCAGCAACAGAAAGAAATCATGAATATGTTCTTCTGAATTTTGAGAAGTAGAGAAAACATCAAACAGGAGATGCATCATTGCTTAACTTACAGAGACACAAGATTCTGCAGCTGACCAATGTCTGGGGGTATGCTACCAGACAGATAGTTGAATGACATATCACTAGAGGCATAAACAAATTATTATGTATCCTTAACACTACAATGACACAGTTTAATAGGAGTCAAATGAAATTTAACTTATAAAAACCAACAAAACTCACATAGTCTGTATGCTTTTAAGGTTCCCAAATTCAGCAGGCAAGGGCCCCTGAAAACTATTATGGCTCAGGTTCCTGCATACAATGTGGAAATACCACATAAGTTCAGCAACAAGTGAAAATCAAAAGAATAAGGTAGTTCAAAATCAAATGAGGTTTAATAGCGGCTTTTATCTTACAAGGTCAGAAGATGCTCAAGATAACCAACAGATCCTGGAACATGCCCTGAAAAGTTATTGCTAGACAGATCCCTAAAACATAACAAAAAAAACCAATTCAGCATATGGAGCAATATAGATAAGTTGGATTAATTTTGATAAACTTACAGTGTATCAAGATTTATTATATGGCCCAATTCAGCAGGTATACTCCCTTTGAAGTTGTTTGCAGAAAGATTTCTGGTAGTCCAACAAAACTTTCTTATCAAATAAATAAATAAATAGGGAAGAAATCTAGTTCAAAAAGAATGAAACAAGTCTATATATAGTTAGATGAAACATACAAGAAAGTCAAGCTCTCAAGGCTGCGAAAGCTCAAAGGAATTGAACCACTTAAATGATTACCATGCACATTACTGCAAAAGTAAACAAATGATTGGACAATACTCCAAGCTAAAGTATTGAAAACTACAGAATGTTCAATAACATTCCACATACTCGGACTAGAGTTCAAAAATCTTACAACTTATTCAAGGCAGTACAGGAGCTAAGGTTAAGTGGAATAGATCCTTCAAGATGATTATTGGCAAGATTCCTGGACAACAGTAAGGGAAGCAACATGACACCACTGAAACTGAGAAATGCAATGACCACAAGATAGAATGACCAAACT